GAATGTCTTGAATGCATTTACTGCCTTTTGCACAGGAAGATATTGGTATCTTTTATCGATCAGGTTGGTAATTGACTTACATTCCATTAATTAAAATGGATTTTGAACTCTCCACTGTCTTACTCCCAGACAGACCCCTCTGTGACTAATGGCAGGTGTTTGCAAGTTGACCTTCCTAAATTTAGTAGCACAGACTCTGTTGATTGGTCCTGAGAAGGCCAGCTGGCCCTGTGGTTACAATTTCTACTTTAATAACCTCTAAAATCGTTAAAATGACTAACCACCAGCTTTGTGTGTTGTGTTACCTCTGTATATACTGCAAGCTGGCCTTCTATAAAAGTCTCTTGTGTTTCCACATTAATCACCATTGCTTATAAGATGCATGTAAGCTATGGTGATGGTCCCACCTGTCCTGTCAGGAAAAGCACCTGCAGGTCTGGTCCCTGATTGCCTGGCCTAGAGAGTTAATAGTGTTCTGATGTTGTGCTGGGGGATTTGGCCTCCATTTACTAGGCAGGAGCAGGTGGTTCTAGGGTCAAAATGACGCTTGGATCCATGTAGCCTAGTACCGCCTTCCATACACGTAAAATTCAACCAGATATGGGCAGCGCTGTAGGGCTGTGACAACCAAAGGGATAACCATTAGCTGCATCTAGCTTTTAAAATTTCAGTTACATAAACTTTAACATCCAGCTCCTCATTTACTCCAGGCTACTTTTCAAGTATATAACACCCACACGTGGCTGCTGGTTTCTGTGTCGGGCAGGGCACATCACAGACACTTTCCATCACAGAGCATTCCTTTGGATATTGCTGTTCCGGGACAACTGTTGTGATTGGTCAGGGAAGGCGGCTTGCAGAACTGTGCAAAGAAGATTGTGAGGCCACAGTCAGGTTGGCCGTGAATTGGTTGTTATCACTGTATGTCCTAGGAAGACGGCTGGGGAGGCTTGGGAGTGGCGCTTGAGGCATGTGTAGTTACAGGTAAAACCACAGGAATGAACATTTAAAATGGGGGCGGGGGGAGGCAGGTAGCCATTATTTGGTAGCAGGAATCCATTGGGAAGAAATTTGAGGCTCTTTTAGTTTTCTCATTCCTTAGTTTTATTTAGGAAGTACCGTTTTTACTATTTCTCAAAATAACAGTGAAGCTTTGCTTTTGTGTCAGAATTAAACAGTGGCTTCAGAGCTTCCTTATTTGTGAAATAAAGAATAGATGTTATATTAATAAACAAAATCCATCATCAAAATTAGTTTCAAGTTCATGCCACTTTCTCCTCTACCTGCCAAGAAACAACTGTAAATCCTTTTCTTTGTCTCACTTTCTTTGGTATTCTCTGATGAAGGATAACAAGTGGAAAATGAAATGTAGGGAAAGAAGAAAAAGTTGGTATCATTTTTATCAATCCCTGCATAACTGTTTTCACAAATTGTGGTCTGGGGGTTGGTGTTATGGATAAGCTATCAGTTGCAGTGCTGGCATCATGTATTTAAATGCCCTCTAATCCCAGCAGCTTCCCTTAAATGACCAAATACTCAAGGCCCTGCCACCGTGGGGGAGACCCAGATGGAGTTCCTGCCTCCTGCTTTGACCTGGCCCAGACCTAGCTGTTATGGCCATTTAGGGAGAGAGGGTCTTACCCTTACGCTCCCTCTTTCTCTATCACTCTGTCTTTAAAATAAATAAATCATTAACAAATAAAATTTTGAGGACTCGGTACAATAACCTAGTGGCTAAATCCTTGCCTTGCATCTGCCAGGATCCTGTATGGGCACTGGTTTGTATCCCGGCTGCTCCATTTCCCTTCCAGCTTCCTGCCTGTGGCCTGAGAAAGCAGTCAAGAATGGTCCAAAGCCTTGGGACCCTGCACCCACATGGAGACCCAGAAGGAGCTCCTGGCTTCGGATCAGCTCAGCTCCGACCACTGTGGCCACTTGGGGAGCGAGCCAGCAAATGGAAGATCTTTCTGTCTCTCCTCCTCTCTGTAAATTCGAATTTCCAATAAAAAGAAATAAATCTTTAAAAAAAAATAAGATTTTGAGATCTGTATCTGATACTGTTTTCAAAAACTTAGTTATATCTCATTGCTGAGGGTCATCTGCAGTAATGCACAAGTGATGCAAGGACGTTTAGTACATGTCACATAATGAGTGTTCAATGCATGTTAGGTGTCAGGATGTAAATCATGTTTATGTCAGAGACAGCCTTGCCGAAAGATAGAAGATTTGCCAAATCTACTTCCCATCCACTACTCTCCTAACTATACCATTTATACTAAACATGGTCAAGTGTGCCTATTTTGTTTATTTTATTTCTAATCCACTGTAAATGATTATTAATCCTCCTGAAGATTTTTGGCACAGCTGCCTGTGGCTGTAATCAGAGGAGCAGTTATCATGGAGAACTTTGTCAGTGAGCAGTGCTGTTACAAGCGCATGATCCTGTCTGATGGTTTAAAGCTGGGGATCAGGGCAGCAAAGAGGAGGGACTGGTAAGCGGCAGGAGTGAGTCAGCCCCAAGGGAGCCTGATTCATTGTTGCAGCCTGACCTGTATGGTCTCTAGGGTGTAGGACAAAGGACAAAGCACTTCAGAAAGACTAGGGGCCAGAGAGGCACCATGACCCAAATTTGCTAAATCTGTCTTCCCTGTCTTTAGTTAGCCTTTTCGCTCCCCGTGGTAGCAGGAGGGACGAGGGTCAGAAACGATAAATTGTGCTGGTCTTGGAGGCTGCTGCTCAGGCCTGGTCCACACTGGAGGGTGCAGCCAGTGCCCCAAACCCCAGCCCACGCAGAATGCAGGCGCCAGAGATGGCTCCTGACCTGTGGGAAGCAACTTTCTTTCCAAGAGAAATATTTTGAGTCCTATGATTGGTGTGAAGACACAGTCCTGAACTGTTTTCACTTACTGAGTTCTGTAACTAGGAATGAAACACTATGGTGTTGCTAAAAATGACTTTGCTTTTTTTCCCCACCCCAGGATGTTCAGGTTTTTTTTTTTTTAAATCCAAAATTCTCTGATTTGCAAATGTTGGAATTATTTAGTACCTGGGTCGTATTCCAGGATGTCACCTGCCTCGGGCGCTCCGTGTCCTGCATTCTGGCTGGCACAACTCCTGCGTATCTCTCACACCCGAGACCCTGCACTCAGCGTCTTCAGGGCACCCACTCTGCTGTCCCCCAGTTCTCCCGACTCTGTGCACAGCACCTCACAGCTGTGTTTGTTCTGGAAGCATTAACACACATGCTTGGGATTGCTTGGACAATGCAGACAGCATGTTCAGTGAAGAAAACCAATCCCACAGGTGCCACTTATGTTCAGGATTTTCATTTCCAGTCTACAGCAGTGTGTTCCCGTGCAGAAGTGTGTGTATGGATATAAGCAAATTTGGATCTATTATCTATATAATATTGTTCTGTGATTTTTTTTTAGCTGGGGACATCAACATCTTTCTATTATCATTAAGTATTTATGAAAGAACTGTCCCTCATGGGTAGAATAATACTCATGTGTTGTTAGCCATTCAGTCGTCTCCATTTTTCCATATTAAAAATATGCTTGGTCTTTAATCTCTGTACACAGGATAGTGTATTGAATAAGGGCATAGACATTGGAGCCCACTATCCCAGGGTTCAAATCCAAGTTTCCCTTTCACTGCTAGACACCAGTGCAGTCCTAGGCTTCAGTTTCCTACCTTGTATCCTGAGGATCGTAGTAATACTTCATATCAAACTTTGCCACTGTCAGAGAAATGTGTGTATGTGCTATTTACACTGACCATGACACTGAGCATAAGATCTGATGGTTATTAGCAGGGGTGGTAATAGTCAACACCATTAATAAATATAGAAACTTTTTCACATACTTTCTAGAGTCTAATTTGTAGCACCAGAGTATACAGATGGAATCTGTTCTAGTGATGCATGACCAAATTAATTTCTAGGAAGATTCCACCAATTTGTAGTAACACCTGTAATAGAAGTATTTCTCTAATCTCTCACCACCTTCCGTCATTGGAGATTATCTTTTATAGTTGTGCATCAATGCAATGCACACAAGTAGTGCCATTTAGCTTGTATTTATTTGTAATTTGCTTTACTTTCTTATTATTTACTATTACCAGATGAAAAAACAAGTTGTAAATATTTAATTGGTTAGTCATAGTCTTCTCTATGTATTATTATTTTTTTTTAGGTCAGGGCTCATTTTTTCCACCGTCTATCTTTTATTTTTTAAGATATTTGAAACGTATAGTAGGAGTAACAGAGAGGGAGAAAAAGAGAGAGACAGAAAGCTTCCCTTTGCTGGTTCACTTGCTGAATGACTGCAAATGCCAGATTGAAGTCAGGAATCCGAAATTCTGTTCTGGTCTCCTACATGGGTAGCAGAGCCCCAAGGACTTGGACTGTCTTCTGCTTTCCCGGGCATGTTAGCAGGGAATTGGATCAGAAGCAGAGTGGTCAGGACTTGAACTGGTGCTGTGATGTGTGATGTGTCCCTGCACACAGCAGCTTAACTGCTACACCATCGTATCAGCTCCTGCCTTTTTTCCTAAACCTGTGAGTTCTTTATAGTTTTGATAATAACTATGTATAACTAACATTAATGGACACCTGGAACTTTTGAATGTGAAAGTAAAGACCACAAAAGCTAGGTCTTTGCCTCTTTAAAAAAAATTTTTTTTTTGCAACATAGCCTGGCAGAGTGGAAACTCAGTAAATCCTTGTTGTTTTTGTAGCCCTTTGTTTTTCACGGGACTAGCACAGAGCAGTGCCTTGCCTGCCGTAGGAGCAGAGAAGCATTTTCTAACTTGGCACCCACCCATGGCCTCTGCTCTGTGTGCACAGCAGCCGACTGTTCCGGGCGCCGTGGTCCCAGCCCCCGCCTCAGCTCAGATGAGTCAGCATCTCCTGGACTTGGCTTTGATTGTTCCCACATGTTTGCACCGGTCCTTTTCTAAAGTGCTGTAAACTCAGGTGATCTCCCTGCCTTCGTTTCTAGGTAACAAACCTGAATTTGGCAAGTGGCATCATGAACAGAAGCAGTGCTTCGACACCCCCAACCCTCAGACCCGTCCTCAGCCCCAGTGGGCCAACATGGTCCATGCAGCCAGACCCCCACACTCCCGAGAGCCACTCCAGCCCGCCCGGAACCAGGTACGTGCAGGGCCCCAGCGCTGATGTGGGCTATGCAGGGCTGACCTGTGTCCTCAGAGTGGCACATGCGCTTTCTGCACCCACCCAAGTCCTGTGGGCCTAACCTCTTTTTTTTTTAAAGATTTATTTATTTTTATTACAAAGTCAGATATACAGAGACGAGGAGAGACAGAGAGGAAGATCTTCTGTCCGATGATTCACTTCACTTCCCAAGTGACCACAATGGCTGGTGCTGTGACGATCTGAAGCCAGGAGCCAGGATCCTCTTCCAGGTCTCCCACGTGGGTGCAAGGCTTTGGGCCATCCTCTACTGCTTTCCCAGGCCACAAACAGGGAGCTGGATGGGAAACAGGGCTGTGGGGATTAGAGCCGGCGCCCATATGGGATTCCGGCGTGCTCAAGGCTAGGACTTTAGCCACTAGGCCACTGCACTGGGCCCTAATCTCTTGTTTTGTAAGACAGTTGTCAATAAAGATAAATGAAAAGGAAATATCTGAAGCTGCTGAGCAAACCACGTCGACTGAAGGCATGAGAATTTATGCTCGAAGTTGTTGATTAGAATCCTTGTTTATGGTTAGCATTCTCATCTACTGCGCCTTGTCTCCTCTCTGGTTTTTTATAGGGGAGGGGTAGATTTAAATAGGTATTTATACCTTGTCCTGTATTGGATTCTGCTTTTGAAGGATGTACTTATGTTTCCATCTAGGATATGTAATCAGACTCAGTCAGACCCAGGAGTAATGTTCATTTGGGAAGTGAGAAGGAAATTTCTTGTATATATTGAGAGATGTGGCAGAGGATAAACTCCAAATAGGTTCTGGCCATAAAAGAAGCAGTTAAAAAGAAACTATTGTGCTGAATTCTGGTCTCCATATTTTAAGCACCTCTACGTATTTTTTTTTTTAAAAAAGTGAATCCCAATTTATCAAATGTGGATTCATTTGCACCAGTCCCTGAGTCCCATGAGCTGCTCAAGAACAACATTCCAGTAGAGTCTTCTGAGCAGCCGCGCGCGATAAGCCGGAGGAGACATCCTGATCCCCGCGCCCATACATCCTGCCTCTGCTGCTTTGACACTGCCTGCCCTGATCTTGGGCGAGACAGTGGAGGATCTAGGCAAGGAAGGAAGACCTAGCTGTTGTCAAGTAAGGGTTATTACTTAAAGATCTCATCTGTAAATCATGCACGCTCTCCATGTGTAACAGAAAGAGAGCATATTGTGCCTTGCACTGGCCCCATGTTTCTCATACCCATGGGTCCTTATGGACAGGGTGAAAAAATTCATCTCAATGGAGGAATGAAGAGACAGTCGTGAGGAGGGAATCAAGACCAGAAACCCTCCACACAGTTCTCTTCACGGGAACCGTCTGTTTCGGGTGATTTATAATCTACAGAGTAACCGCATTCCTAAAACATAAGTCGTAAAAATGAAACTCTGTTTATACCACAGAGCTTTATTTTCCGTGTAAAATGTTTCCAAATATTCCATTTTCATTTTCAAATCATGGCCTTGTTTCTATGGAAAACATTTTCACTGCAGTCTTGGCCATATTATCTCGTATGACAAGGCTACAGGCATTTTCCATACTGTAAACAAGATGTCAGAGCTACACATTCTGGAGAAGACCATTAGCACTTTTTATGCTTGTAGGTGGAATGAGGAAAAAGGAAAGGAAAAAAAAAAAAAGCAACCCACAAACTTTTAATGAAGTTGTATATGGCAAGGCTGAGAGCTTTCTCCTGGCAGCACCTGGCAGTACCGAGACCCAAGGTGGCAGATCTGTCAGGTTCAGAGTGGCCTTGTGCCTGCCAGGCCGTGTCCTCAACACTGCCCTTCCGTGGCACCTTGCAGGGCTCTCATCAGAACCATAGCAGTGTCATAGAGCAGCCCCCCATGACATTGCCTTTCCCTCGACATTGTTCTTTTCCCTCCTGAAGATGGCAGTTCCTCCCAGCAGCCCTCATTTATCCTCCTCTCCAGCACAAGGCCCAGCTTCGGATCTGTTTCTATTCCAGAGTGGCCTTGAGAAATCTGCTTCTGCCCTCAAGTAACCTCTGGTTGCCAGAAGGGCTTAGAGGCTCGGCCTGGACAGTCCAGTTCCACACAGAGTTCCCAGGGGCCGTTGCATGGCGGCAGCACTGCACACGTTCTCAGAGGTCCTTCCAGACCAGGCTGCAATGTGGGGCCCTCCACCCGACCCACAGCGACACTCTGAGCAGTGCTGTAGCCTGACTTCCATTTCTACCTGCTCAGTCACTGGTTTGTGGGTATTTATTTTGTCTCTTACTGTAGAAAGAGTGACTAAGCTGGACGGAGATGAGGATTGTAGCTGTGAGATCCGAGTTTTGTGATTGGTTTTGACACTAAGTGACCCTGAGCCATTCATTTAAGCTTCATATTGAGCAAGCATACTTACACATAAACCAGCCTGTTGTGAGAGCCTTGAGGTTGCCTGGAAAGCACTTTGATCTCCCTGGAAGTGGGCACTGAGTAAACTCAAAGGGACTCTTACTCGCTTTTCTGAAGTGGTGACAGTGGATTCCAGGGCTGGGAAACTCTGATAATTCACTGAAGTTGTGGGCTGCCCTGGGAACTGAAGAAGATGTAAAGAGAATGAGAATCCTGTTGCTGACCCTGCTCTCATCTCGGCGTGTTGGAGAACTCAGGGACTTGGTAGCTGCAGCCACGAAAATGGGTGACTCACGAGAATTCTGCAAATGGTATTCTTTTTCATTTCCCCATTGTGTTGCTATTGTTCTCAATTTTATGGATCACACAAGTTTTCCCCAGACAGCCTTGTTCTTCCCCCTCCTACTCCTTGTCTCCCCCCTGTTTTGAAACCACCCCAAGATGTAGCCTCGGGGCTGTCGTCTCTCATTGGGTCAGTGTGAGCTCAGCCCAGCTCCTCAAATCCCTTGGTTCCTTTGGTCTGTCTGGAGTCCCCATCCAGGCTTTGTTGTGGGAGAGGAAGGCAGAGAGCCCACGACTTGCCCAGACAGTCTGAGGCCTGGCCATGGAGCTTGCAGTTCCCTAGACACTTTGGAGTTGGACTTGGCCAGCCATTCCTCTGTTGTTACTTTTCAGAGGTAATAAGTGAGATTAATTGCAGGCCATTCTCCAGAAGAGAAAGTGACCGGGGCCAAGCGCAGTCACATGTTTTGAGGCCTGAGGTGTGTCTCCCAGCCGGGCTGCCTCAGAACTATACCCGAGGGACTCCAGTATGCAGGGTCCAAGAGTTGGCCACCTCCCTTCCTAACCTGATGCTTCCCTCTGTAGAGGTATTCCAGCTTCTCTTCAGCCAATGGGAAAGGTTAGATGTTTCACGCATACAGGGTCGTCAGAAGCTTTATGCACATGTGCAGGGGCATCTCCCTGTTGCTGCCAGCCCGCTGTGGACTTGGACCACATCCGAGAGGAGAATTTTGTAGGTGAGGAGCAGTTAGTGGCTTCGTGGTGCATTTTTCTTGTGAGACCTGGAAGGGTTACTGTAAAGTCTTGGCTGCTGCTTGGAATGAGTTGGGAAGGACAGGGCCTCAGACAGCTTGGCAGGAACCTGAGGCCCTGTTTTTTTCCAGTCCAGCCCTTCCTTGTGGATCAAGCTGTCAGGGAATCCCACGAATGTCTGGCTTCTGCCCTTCGGTGTGTTTTTCCAGCATTTGTCATTGAATTATTTTTATCCATCTCTGGCTTTTTCACACACGCATCCTGGGGATTTGTCTGTTCCTCGATATTAAAGGTGGGGGAAGTTGACAAAAGAGCACAGCCACAAGTTCCTTCCTAGTTTCTGTGAAAGGACAGGATGTTGCAAGTGTGGGCCAACCAGCTCTCAACCCCTAGTCTGCAAAATTTGCAGTCTGCCAAGGAGTCGGGACTCTGGAGAATTTGTACCACTTAGGAGGTTCCTGTGCCCTCTTATTTTCAGATGTTTTATTTATTTATTTATTTATTTAGAGAAAAAAAAATCTCTTTTGCTACCTCCTCTCCCCCCAACCCCACTGCCCAGTGCCCAAAACAAGTGGGATTAGGCCTGGGTCAGAATTAACAGCCTGGAATTAAACCAGGGTCTCTCAGGGGGTGGAAGGGTGGGGACCCAGGCACTTGAGTCATCACCACTGCTTTCCAGGGTGCATATGGGCAGAAAGTTGGACTTGAGAGTAGAGCCAGGACTACTTGAACTTGGGCAGCCCTGACTAGAGATGTCTTGGGTGGCATCCTGAGACCACTATGCCAAACGCCGATCCCTACCCTCATACCATGAGAAATAGATTAGATTAGAAATAGTCGGCTAGTCTGCTTGGCAGAACTTTTGGGAGCATGTTATCCAGAGGTGCTAACTCTGGTACAGCTAATACTTTTCTCCCTTTCTTTGAATTCTTTTTTTTTTTCTAAGATTTATGTATTTTTATTACAAAATCAGATATACAGAGATGAGGAGAGACAGAGAGGAAGATCTTCTATCTGATGATTCACTCCCCAAGTGATCACAACAGCTGATGCTGTGCCAATCTGAAGCCAGGAGCCAGGATCCTCTTCCAGGTCTTCCACGTGGGTGCAGTGTTCCAAGGCTTTGGGCCATCCTCATTTGCTTTTCTAGGCCACAAGCAGGGAACTGGATGGAAAGTAGAGCTGCCAGGATTAGAGCTGGTGCCCATATGGGATTCTGGCACATTCAAGGCAAGGACTTTAGCTGCTAGGCCATGGCGCTGGGCCCCCTGAGTTCTTTCTTACAGTTGTTGCTGGAGGTGCTTGTCTCTGACTTCCCACCTGTTTACTCTCATCGTATCTGTAGGAATACTGAATTTGTTCATTTCTTTGAGAAATATTTCCTGTACATTTCGTATGTGTCAGAGATGTTGTGAACCACTATTTGGTAGTAGTGAAGGAGGCAACATTGTCCCTGGCCTTGTCGATTTTTCTGTCTGGCTGGGATCCTCCATGCCCTTAGCCTTGTGCTGGCTGTTGAATGCTGGGTAAGGTCTCAAGGAACTTTAAAAACATG